AGAAAGGTTTATATGTGAACATGTTCCATTTGCACTCAAAATGGAAGTCAAATTAAAAGGCAGATGTGTGGAATTAACAAAATTAAACTTGACATCTACTGTAAATGCAATCCCTGACAATTTTTTTAATGTGAGCCCAGAGGAGGCATTAAAAAAAAAAACGTAATAATTTAAACTACCCGAATGGCATAAAATAGTTTATCAGTGTCTGTTAGAAACAGGTCAGCTCCTGTAACTTTTAAAATATTAATGGAAAAATTTAATTTGATCAACAAGAGTGAAAGAACTGTGAGCAAAGCAATGTTTTTGTTTTTAAATGTTGCTGTTCTTTCAAAGCTCAGATTGTTCTTTTGTGACCATTAAATGTGAAAATAATCACAAACTATAATTCTCCAAGACAGAATCAGTCTTTTGGGTGCTAATGTAAGATTTAAATTGTCTTTTGTTTCAGCTTTAATAAGATTGATAAGCAGATGATTCCAGAGCCCTGCCTTCCCATATGGGTGTTCCTAATTTCCTCTTGAACTGTGTCTCCAAACCTGAAACTGCAATTCCCACCCAATGTGTGTGGGAATTGTGAAGAGAGACAAGTGCCTGGAAGAAGAGCTTCTCATCAGAGTAGGAGGGTGGTGGCACCCAGAGCCACATAAGTAGAAATACTTGTCCTCTGTTCAGTGGCAGAGGGGGCTAGGAGGAACCTGTCATCTGAACTTGTGGAGTAACATTTGTTTTGCCCTAAACCAGACACGTGTGTTACCTTACTGCCAATTGCAAGCTAAAATTGACAGCACTAGTTCAAATCCAAACAACAAACTTCTATTACTTTGGTGAATCATTTCTAGAGAAAGATGTGTCAAGACCGAAGATCTTGCTTAAAAATGGGTGTGGGGCAAAGGTCTGAAAGATTGTCAGATGGATTAAGCAAATAAGAAACCTGTTGAAGCTACTTTTTAGTAAGACATAAATGTATTTGTTTCTGGAAGAAGTAATTTCCAGAAACTTCTGGGTGAATGGTCATGTTAAGTGATGCAATCAGTCTTAGCTTAGCACTACTAGCCATAATGGCGTGCAGCTTTAACCATCAAAATGTTGCCTTGATTAGGAAGCAGAAACCAAAGAAGGAGCAAAGATGCATAAAAAGAAAGCAAATTCTTTATGTACTGCTTTTAGTACTTGGCTGCATACTGTGGAAAAACCATTCAATGTGAAAAATGGACAAAACCTAGTCAAAAAACCAACAAGCAGGTGTCATTGAGGTGACAGTTTTGTTAGCTGTAAAAGCTGAATCAAGCACCTATGAGTATTCACCTTTCTGTATCTTCTCACACTTGATGAGCTTTGCAGTGTACTGTTGGAGCTTACTTCAAATGCAGTTTATTTTGCTGCAGCAACTCCAGCTGTGGAAAGAAAATTACCATGTATGGCCACAATGCTGCAGTAACCTATTATATGTATATGACCTTAGTAATATTCTGCAGAAGTCTGCAAAATCTTAGACTTGAAAGCTAAGAAGTGATGGTGATGAGACAAGCATAGAGCATCTGTAGTGGTGGTAAGCAAAAGTGGCTAAAACTGATGAAGTGGAGCAGCTGCTGACATGGAATAAACATCCTTTACCCATGTGTATGCACACAGTATGTACCAAACCATGCCTACCACAGCACTAAGGCCTGTGCACCTCTTCAGGCTTTAGATAACTGTCCCTAATTCCTTGAAAGTCAGTGAACAGCACTGTGCCAGGTCAGCTTGGAAGTTTGCCCTGCCAAAATAGGGCAGGTTAGCTTCTTTGAAAGGGTCTGCATAGCTGTGACTGAAACACCAGCAATTACACCATTTCTTCAGAAGACTGGTTTGTTCTTTGTGTTAAGGGTTATAAGCATTCACCCTGCAACTAACTTCAGTATGACTAACAGAGCTTCACTTAATCTGTGCATCTTCTAAAAAATTAACATTATAAATAGAATTTGGAAATAAGCTGTAAGTGGGATTTGAATTTAAATGCCTGAATTATTTCCATACTGACCAGCAATATAGTCATATATGTAATGTTTGAACATTCTATTCAAAAAGAGTTGGTTTTTATGTATAAAGAACTTTAAGTTTTCATTTTTTTTCCCTAGGAGCCTTACTGCTGAAGTCCCTTCAAGAAGTGTGGAGTCAGGGAAAGTTTTGTTTACAGTCAGCAAAAAGGGTACCTTCCTGATGATTTAATTCCTTTGAATGTCTCCAAGTCTGTGAGACTATAAAGTACTCATTAGAATATACAAGCATTAGGCCAGTATCAGTTGTGCTTCCTGCAGTGTACCAAGGTCTGTGATTTTTAAGAAATCCTATTAAAATACCAAATGAGATTTGAATCTCTGTACCCATATGCTAAATTGCAAAACTGGAGCATAGGACAAAAGGTCACTGTTTTATTTATTAGAGTTACAGAGCTTTCTTTGTTAATTATGCATTCATCCAACTCTGACTATACATCCATCTAGTTTAATTAAGTCATTTAGAGTGCTTATCCCATATTTAGAACTTAAACTTTTTTGCATGATGTGATTAAGCATAATGGGTTTTTGACATAAAGAGACCATCATTAAATGCTATCTTCTGTGTGCATATCTTTATTATCATGCTTGTAGTGCTCTGCAGAAATTTTAAAATTTATTTCTGAGGATATGAATCTGCTGAATCTTCTTTTTGTATTGAAATGTAGATGTGCAATGGCATCTCATATTTTAGTTAATTCTTGCATTTGCCAGGTTTTCTGTCTTTGTTTCAACTGGTGTGTCCTAGAATGGTTTGGGTTGGAAGAGACCTTAAAGATCATCTAGTTCCAAGATCCCTGCCATGGCCAAGAATACTTTCTGTTAGACCAGGTTGCTCAAAGCCCCAACCAGTCTGGCCTTGATGACTTCCAGGTTTGGGGCATCCACAACTTCTCTGGGCAGCCTGTTCTGGTGCCCACCACCACCTTATATCTAATCTAAACTTAATCTCTGAAGCCATTCCCCCTTGTTCTGTCACTACATGCCCTTGTGAATAGTGTCTCTGTGTCTTTCTTGTGGGCTCTTTTCATGTACTGGAAGACCACAATTATCTACTGCATTTATTTATTATAAGTCGACAAAACAACAAAATCTTCTACTTGGTTATGATTTTAGTAGTGTTGATTTTGTGGTTTATATTATCTATTGAAGCAATTCCTCAGCTTCAAGAGAATTGAATAACTTACAATGCATTTTTTTTAATTGCAGCACTTTAATTACACTCATCTACATACTCGTGTGTTTAATTTTTCCCAGCCTCAAACACTAAGAACAAAGCCGGTATGACTTGTATCTCCTGCTAAGAAAGTTCAACTTGGAAGAAAATAGAATTTCTTCTCAATGTTCCATTAAACTTTTAACTAGGAAGAATTAAATTATTCTGATTATTACACTTTAGATCTGTCAAGGTCTCTCTTCAGAGCTGTGATTTTGCTTTTTGATCTTACTCTCAAAAAATAATCACAGCTGCTTTATATAGGAGTCTTAATGTATCTTCTTTTTCATTCTATACAAGATTTCTAAGACCTTTTTGAAAATGTTGACTTTTTAAATCCTATGCCTAAAATGAAAGACAAAATCTAAATAGTTCCTTGAGAGAAATGAACTGCAGCTCCTTCATATTAAAAGCTAAAAGAGGGGTCTCTGCAAATCTGGTGTTCAAACTCTGTTTGTTTTCTAAATGTCAAACTGCAAGACAAGTTTATTTAAATACTTTCTTAGTGTTACTTGTTGACACAGTTGTCTGAGTTCCCATGAGGTGTCATTTGATCACTGTTAGGAAAGGTGTAAATTAGACAACAGCAGCAACCAAAAAGAAAAATAATGAAAACCTTAGAGCTGGAACAGTTTGGGTGGCCTATAAATACTTGTATTCATTGTGTTTCACACTCCTGGGACTTGGCTGAAGCATGCTTTCCATATTGAACTAGAGATTAGATTAAATGAAATTTATATAAGTTTTGTTGACTGCATTGCAGCATTGTGATGGTCTAAAAAGTATTGTAGCTCAGATGAGTCAGGTTTTCCTTGCCTTGCTTGTTTAGATTACCATGCATATATGTACAGGTATGTGCAGGCACACATCTGTTTATATAGCTAGATAGATCAAGTATTTATGTGTATACATGGGTATATATAAATGCACGTACACTATAACCGGAATCTTGCTGCTTTTTTGTACTCCTGGTGGCTGCCAGTGCAGGTGGAGTTTTGCCTGCTGCATTTATGCCAGACATCAACTCCCAAAATCCCACCAGCCCCATGTGTGCTCTTGTGACTGACTTTAACTTCATCATGGGCTTTTCAAACAATCACTACCCAGGTATCAGTTGCAGGAGCTTCCCTCCCTTTTATTTATGTGGAAAAGTAGACTTGTGACAATTATTTGGTGCACCTGTTGACCCACCTGTGACTTGACTCTGGAGAAAGGGAAACCTTTCTAGTCTTGCACCTCCTTTGATCTAGGGAAGAAACAGTATTGCTTGGTTGTAGAAAATAACATGTTTAGATGTATAAAACAGGGCTGTATTGTCTCTTCCTGTTCTATCACAAAGCCTGCTTTTTCCTAGGAGATGGTGGAGAACTTTTCTCACTGTGGGAATGGGGGAAGAGGTGAGGAGGAAGGGATCTCAAGAAACAAAAAAGCACAAAAGGAGAATAGAAAAGAAAAAAGTGGCACCTCAAAGGATGATAGATTTATCTGAAGTGAGAGATGAGGAACAGTATTTGAAAGAAAAATGCTGTAATGTTTGCTAAACTGGATTAGTGGCCCACAATATAATGGGAGACATATGTGATAGCGATATACTCTTAAAAACAAAGGTAATTTTTTATTTCATCAAGCAGAGCTTACATCTGCTTAAAATGTATAAAACACTATAGAAACTAAAGTATTGCTCTGGAGACTTGAAGTTGTATGAATATAACAATAATTCCTTTTCTCTATGTTCTTGTTTACAGACCAGTCTTTCCATATGGGGATGGGGAAGCCTTGGCCTTGTGCTTTTTCTAGTAACTTTTGGACCCTTCGCTATATTTTACTTTGCATTTTATATCCTCTGCTTTGTGGGTGGGTAAGTATATTATTAAGTGTTTTATTTAATTTGCTGTGAAAGTAAAATTTTAATGGGTGTGTTAGCAAAGAGCTTGCTCTGAAAATCAGAAGTGGCTTTATGTAATTAATGTTTCACCATTTGAGACCTCTTTATGAGCAAAATATTTGCAATTGAACTCCCAATTTAGCTATTTTTAGTGGATGTCAGGGGAAAAATGCTCACATAAAAGCAGTGGTAATTTCAGTTCTTACTTTTTATTAGTGTCAATTCTTTTCCCAGGTACTTTTAAATACTTAAGTTTCCTTTTCTATCACAATCTCATTTTCCTATCTAAGGCAGTTGATTCATGGGAGTGGATGTTGTCCTGTGTGTGTGGAAATAATGCTACACTTTGAACAAGTAGATCAGTTCAGCAGCTGTAGACTTTTCATATATTATCTATATAGGCAGGAAGGGAGCAAATGTGAAGTTTAGCACCATTATAATATAATATATTATGATGTTTGCCTTGTAACATTTTTAGTGGCAAATTAAAATGTCTTAGTGGGATATTCTTTTTACCTTCATACTTACCTGATACCATACAGAACATATGTATATTCCTGTATATCTCATAAAAAATGTAATAGCGTTTAGTAGCTAGAATTAGAGCTGCTGTGCTTGGGTTTCAACTGTATTAGGCTTGGTATTTAATCTCTGAGAAATCAGACTAGTCAGTCTGTTAGAAAAGGGATTTAGTTAAGGTAAAACTAACTTGAAGTAAATGCTTTTGTCTTGTCAAGTCTTGATACAAGTGTGGTTGGCATATTTTACTATCTGTTTGTCCAGGGCAAAAGTCAGAGTTTATCTAACGGGAAGAATGCATCTGCTTGCTGTTTTGTCTTACCACTTCCTTAGTACTTGCAGTATGGAAAATAACATGAGATATAATAATTTCTTAAGATGTTATTCTTCTTCCTTGCACAGTTTCAGTTTGGCTTTTCAAAGCTAACTGTCAAAGCAGGGTCTCGGAACATGTCTCAAGTCAGCTGCAGTTTGGCACCATTAAACTGCATGTGGTGCCTGAGCTCATTCATTCTCAAGTCAGCTCTCATATCTCTTTGCTGTGGTTATCGTACTGCTTTGATTAATTTTTGTAGCTAGTCAGTAAACACTGATCTTGTTAAGGATTCATCTAGTGGTAGTGTATCTGTTGGAGCAGAGTGTTTACTTTCATGTATAGATGTGAAGTCTCAGCCCTTGCAGTAGAATGTCATCACTTCTTTACTATAGCATAAACGTCTTGGCTATGGTTGTGGTCTGGCCTTTTTTACATTGTTAATCTTTTGAAGAATGATACACTTTAGCACACAAAACGGTGAGTGCTAACCAGGCCAAATGGGTTTATATCTAAATTATTCTTGCCTGCTTTTTTTTTTAATTAATTCCTCTGAAGTTTCACAAAATGCTTGGTCATGCTTCTGTTAGAAACAAACATAAATTGTTATGAAGTAATTTTTGCACTTAGGATTAGCAATTATGTGTCATAACATCATATATATAAATTTAGAAAACAAAAATTTAATTTTGGTTCATGGTTATACTGGTGTCCGTAATATTTACTTACACTTCTCCAGAGCAAAATAGCAATTTTGGACACAGATTTTTGTGGTTGAATTTTTGGTTGAAACTTGGAGTTCTTACCCAATTTCACAGTTTTCTAGGTCTTTATATTTCATTCAAAAAAGAAGTCGCCCGTGTCAAAGGTTTCTGATTTCCAGTACCAAGAAGTCCAGCTTCTGTCCTATTTTGCAGTTTTAACAAAAGAAAATGCTGAATCACAGCTGGTCACACTCTTAGTATTGACCCTAAGTACTTAAAAATATATCAGTGGGCTGTGCAGAAAGATAATGGTGATGCCATATCTATGTCAATGTAATCATTCTGTTTATGCTGTTTAACTCCTATTATGTGTAATTATTTCTTTTTGATATTCACTCAGCTCTGTGATTGCACAAATGACTTGTAGTAAATGTACTGTTCTTGGTGTTCATGAAAGAATACTGAAACCATTTGTATGTATGAATGAAGTTCAAAATCACCATTTCTCTGTATTTAATTTTGGTTTTTTTTCAAGACTGATTTATAAAATGTTAGCTTTTTTTCTGTTCAGTGATCATTCACTTAGGGAACTGAACTCAAAAGCAGGAGGCTAACGATAAATACTGTTTACTTAACCTGTGTAGAATATTACAGGGTGGTACTCTTTTTTTCTTCTCCTTCAAGTACTAGTGTAGACCCCTTTACCTGAGTGCTGAGCCTGTCTGTTACCATCTGTGTTTCCCACTAAGAGTGTTTCTTATCTTATTCTTTCCTTCCCTCTTTCAGCCCTAAGGAAGTGAAATAAAATTGAAATTTCTTTGAAATTTCAGTTGAAGTTTCTTGAAATAAATTGCTTTGCCATTTGAAAGCATTTGCTCAGTTTTCAAATCCCATAATTATTGATACTTGATCACATCCATATATATGTGACTGTCTGGCTTCATTAATGATTGTGACTGCTGACCAAATCAGGAATAGTTCTGTAGCTGCTTTTTGACTTTCACAAAGCATTCAGCTGAGACTGTTACTTTTCAGAATTGAGGGGAAAGTGATAAATCTGCGATTTTCATTTTTTTATCTTTTACCTTTGTTCTGTTGTTAATCTACCCCTGAAAAAGCTGGCCATCCAGTAATCTTTGGAAGAATTTTTTAAAAATTAAGCAAAACACAATCTTTCCCTTTTTCTTGTCTATTCATTTACAGAAGACTAATATGATTTCTCATTCATGTATTGAAAATCCTCTTGATGAATTAAATAAGCATTTACATGAGAAGATTCAGGTTAGCTAACAGATGTCCTGAATGTTCAGACTATGTATCCTTCTCTGATGCTCACATGATTTTACATTAGAGTATAAAATGTGTTAGTTTCTGCCAGAGTAGAAGCAGCTCCTAACATTTCAAACATAAAACTGGTAATAGTTCAAGGCAGCTAAGAAGATTAGCCTTTTTTTTAACCATATTGGTATTATTAGTATTTTTGAATGAGTTGTTAACTTTGAAAGTATCAAAATATTTGAGAGAAAACAGAGATATAATCTGTAGGTAGTTATTTCCAAGGCTTCGTTCCTTTTGAATAAAAAAGGAGAAGCAACTGGCTGATAGATGTTTGAAGTTAAAGTTGATTTTAGGCTAAACTTGGTATAGTGTTTTCTTTAAAAGACAACTGAGGTTTCTAATAGCAAAGTCAAAGATAATCAAAAGAAAATCCAAACTTAAATAATTAAAAATGAACCAAAACATTAGTGAAACTAATATTGTGATTTTTCTAAGCAAGTTCATTTCTGTGAACTCTGATAGGTGTTATGATTTTAAAGTTGCAGGGAGCAGGAGGGCAATTAAACCTGCTTTTATTTCTTGCTGTCATATGGCAGGTAAGGATGGCTGTAGTGGAGATGGAGTATTCAGTGAACTCATCTGTTGTCAAGTTACTGATAATAATTTGAGTAGCTTTTTTTTTTTTTCCCCCTTCTTTCATGGAATTAACTTCATAGCTTCTGAATTACTGGGCCTCTGAGGGGCTTAATTTTTTTTTTTTTTTAATTTTGGGAATTGAAACCTTTAAATGGCATATTTTAGATTGGATAGGATTTTTTCTGTAGTCTTATAAGTGAGAGTATCATATCAACAACAATCTATATTAAAAGAACATATTACTTCAGTACATTTAAAGCCTGGAATAGCTTTGTGAGTTCCTGTGGTCATAAATGCTGGTCAGCTGGCCTTTAAATGGAATGCTTTGAAATTTGTATGGAAACTGTGTGTGTTTAGCTATCCCAGTGTTAATCTTACTATCTTTTTTTCTTTGCTTGATATTTCAAAAGCTACATGCTCTGCTTATGCTAGAACTGGGACAGACCCTGGGTTTTCTTCTATTTCTAAGTAAAGCCAGCTGTGGTTTTGTGCCCTAGTGTCATAAGCTGTAAATAAATTTTTGCTGTTCTAGCAAGGGTAAGCACAATGTCTAAACATATGCAGTGGTTAGTTAGGATTGCTTCATCAGTTTATTCCTGGACTGTGATTGTGTGGCTAACACTACAGTGGAACAGCCTGCAGGGTTTATTTCTTCATCGTTTTGGAGACTCTTCATATAAATGCAACTGATGCAACTTCTGTATGTAGCCCACTTCCCAAGTGCTAATATTTGTGAGCACAGGCAATGTGCCATCAGCAGGCACATTGTAGCATAGAAAATGCTACATAGATTTTCTGTGTCGTAAGAATATATCAAGACAGAGAATACAAGACTGGGAAACTTCATGCTTAGGGTTGTATCAATTATTTTGAGCAGCATGTTACAATGTGAAAAAACACGAGAGTAAGCAGTGAGGATTATCATGTATTGTCATTTTATAACTTGCTGGTAAATATTTTCTAGAGGTGAGAAAATGCAGCTGCTGTTGTACCTGTTTTTTTGCTTTTTTTTTCCATTTTAGGGGTTTTGTGGTTACTCTTTTATTTGGAAAAAGCAATTCAGAAAAATACCTTGAGCAGTGTGAACATTCATTTCTCCCTTGTACATCAGTTGGGATCCCTAAGGTAAGGACAATTTCTAATCTTAACGTCTAGATCAGATTTTATAACTTGGTTAGAAATAATCAGTTTTAATGTAAGAATTGTGCTCATTTCTCAAGGTAAAAGAGCCTGCTTTCATCTTTTGAGTCAGCTGCAATGTGTAAGTGAAATGCAATGCCATATTTTTCCTTTATGAAATACAATTTTTTTCAATAGGTTATGGAAAGATTGATTAAAATATTGTTTTGTCATTGTGAGAAATGATTATGATATGACTGGCAAATATCTGTGAAGAAATTACTAAACCATTCCATTCCAGACTGCTTGTGTGTCTTGGTTTGTTTTGGGGGGTAGCTCTTTCTTGCTTTTTTGTGCAAGATTGTCACAACTATTCAGGTGTCTTCAGTCACTGGATCCACTTTTGATTGTGGTCAAAAAGTTGCCTGCCTAAGAAAGTCAAACTATTACAAATCTAGATTTAGTTTTGCAGTACTTCAAGGATGTAGAGGTTATCTTCGGCTCTCTTCAACACCAAGCAAAAATTCTGGAAAGGCATAGATGAATACAGAGCAGCAGTGGAATCCACTTTTCAGCTCTTTTCTTTTCTGAATACCTAACAGACATTTTGGTTGATGGACTCAATTTCAGGGTTCCTAACTGGATAAATCTGCATCTGTTTAGTACAGAAAAAGTTGTTAAAAGTCAGGAAGTAGAATTTCTAGGAATTCCTGGTTTATGAACCAATGCATCTTTTAAGGTCAGAAGTTTAAATATATCTTGGTCTAATCCACTTGCACTCATCAGAATAAACATTTCAATTGAAAGATTGCTAACTATATTAAATTTAATTTGATAGTTATTCTGACTGAAGCATCCTGTTATTTCTTAGCTGTCATGCACTACATTTCATGTCTATCAAAGGGGGTGAGTGTTCAACTTTATCAGTAGCACATAGAAATTTACCTTGTGATTCAGCAGTGTGTTTTCTAGTCACAGAACATTTTCTTTGACTGCTTCATTGCTTGTTTGGTAAGTGGCCTTTTCACTTAAGTCTTCAAATATTTTAAGCTAAATCTGAAAGCATACCCTAAACTGTAAAGTAAGGTCACTGCTCCAGATGAAAAGTACAAAAGTTAAGGCTGAAAAAGGAAAAGTCAGTAGTCAGCTAATATTTCTGTTCTGTTAATGAAGCCTCGTTTTTGATGACTAATATTCTTGGTGCCATATAGACTTTAGTGCTTCTGTTATATGGGTTGTTACTTAATGTCCTGTATTTTGAGAACAAATTTAGATAAGTTTTTCTGTTTCTTGAATTTCCTCTATATGCTGAAACAAGAATCATGTTTTTTAATGTTAGTGTTACTTTTTTTGGGTTCAGTATGTATGTATGCTCTGGTTGCTTTATGAAAGAAGAAAATCTTATGGAGTTTTTTGTGTACTCTTTGCAAATTCAGTAGTTTGGCACCCGATTTGAATATGGACTATTGACACAGCACTTCCCTCAACTGACATGTCTCGACTAATCTCTGAATTTATGTTTTGTAATATGAAGCCATTTGTTTTTAACTGGCTTAAGAAATGTTATTTGAAGCTGTTCACCAAATAAAATCTGTTTGTCTTCTATAACAGTGTTTTCTCTTTTGCCACTGCCTTAAAGTAGCATTAACAAGGGTATGTAAGCTTTTCAGTAACAGTGGAAGTAGAGTCCCAACCAAAACTAAACATGTTGTTTTGTGATTTCTATTGCTATTTCTGTATTAAATCTCTGCTGACTTGCTTTGCCAATTTAAAAGCATATTTTAAAAATAATATTTTTAACTTGAAATTTTTTTAATGTTTAAATTAATTCTGGACCTAAGTGGTCTTGAACAATGAATATTCTTTCTAGTGGCTGATGTGTATAGATTATACTTCTTCCATGAACCAAGTACAAGCTGAATTTGCCTGAACATGAAATTATTTTGTGGTAGTCTAAGGAGTAATGTGGAGATACTTGTTCTTTGTAAAATGCTTTTTTCATCAGAGTTTTATTGATAGTTTTGGGGTATTTTTGGTACTTAGAGATTTTCTTTAGGCTAAGATAAATGTTCAGGCGCTTGATTTTACAGAAATCAATAATAATACAGAGAATCAAAGTTGTGCCTGGATGTAATGTGTAGAATGTACTATACATTACAACACTAGATTCAATGCTGATAGGTTTCCTTGATTGCTATAGATTATACTTGCTAGAAAATATATAGTGAATATCTCACATTAAGGAGAGTACTTAAGGTACATTTGATGGGAGATCGTATACCTTTCTACAATTTGTTTGTTTGTTTACAAACACACAGGGAGGCTTAAAAATTAGGCTTAGACTTGCTTTTCTTTTTCAAGTCATATATAACTTCTGTGTCAGGAACGTGCAGAATAATGCAATAATGAACTGGCTCTGCAAGATACACAGTTGTCTGCAGGCTTGTATTAAAACAATGTTGAGTGAAAGCTAAGTTTAGAGCTTTCTGAACTGTTAACTTGTATGCCACTTTCAGTTGAAATTACAGTTTCACTTCAACAGAAATATGAAATGTTCGATTATTATAGTTTATGTCTCTAAGCTTTACCCAAAAGACAAAGAGTAGGCTTGTTACAAACAGTAGTTGCATGTTGGGTTGCTAAATAGTCTCTGAGTCTCTTTAAGTCAATGGGTTGTATCATGTCTCAGATTTGAGGCGGATGTGTAAATGCCCTGTGTCTTGTCCACTCATGGAACCCTGTGACTGCGATTGAGGAAATAGTACCACAGTCTAAATGAGGCATATTTCATATTTGACAGTTAGCTAACAGTTTCAAAAGAGGAGTTCAAAAATACCAATTAGTGCAGTGGAACAAAAGGCTGAAATACCTCAGTGCAGTTAAGATGCTCGTGGAGCCTGGATTTATTTGTGCTGCATCTCACTTTGTGGGGTCTGTCTTGCATACCTCCTAGGTGCTTCCTCCCTGCTTAAAATGAAGCAAGGAGGTGTCAAATGTAATGAGAAGTGATACCCATTTTTCCTAACCAATGATTTAATACTGGTAGAGCACATCAGGCTTATTGTGAGTGAGGTGACTGTCAAATGAGACAGTTGTCATGTAAGTTGGGTAATTCCTTTAAGTCTGTCTTCTGTGTCAGCATCTGGAAGACAGAAGTAAAACCAGCAATGCTTTCCAAGTGAGACCACAGTCAGCTGTTGTACCTATAATGGAATAAAAGCACATACTCTAAATTTTAGATATTTTCAGACATATCAAGAGCAAATTAAATTATACTGCAGGCACATAAAGATTTCTCTGGAGATAGAGAATATGAAAAAAAATTATCTCCTTGTAGTTGGTTCTGCTTTGAGTGGAACATTGGACAAGATGAATTCCTGAAATCCAGGGCAAAACCTGGATCCTATGAGCATATGAACATTCAAATTTTTACTGAGTAATCTTGCATATTCTCTATGTCCCTCTCTTTCTTGTGCCTGCTGCTTTTTTTAACAGCTGTATTTTCCTCTCTGTTTTCCAAATGTGGTTTTATGCATGCAGTCCTTTAAAATTATTTTGACAGTTTTTTTCTGGTACTTTGTACTATGATGTGTTTAGTAAAAATGTTTAATTATTCAGGTCCCTATAATTTGGTGGTTTTGACGCAATCAACACAAAAATACTTGGCAAATTCATTAGTCTATAGGTGGAATATGCTAATTGTTTGAATGTGACCCAGTCTTAATTGTATTAAAGTACCATTGAAAGTTCACTTTCCTTGATAGTTAAAAAAATTTACAGAATTTTGCAACAAAGTATTGCTGTGTTATGATACAGAGTTGTTTAAATAGGAGGATGATTTTTTTTTTTTTCTGGCCTCCAATATTTCACTGCCATTCACTGTTAAGTGATTTGAATGAGATATACTTAAGGCAAATTCTGTTCACATAGAATAGCTTGGATACATGGTTTATAATTCCTTCATTTATGGTTTTGGCAGTTCTTTTTTCTCCCCAGTATAGTCATAACTTTAGATCAAAAAAATTACTGGTTTATTTGAACAATGGTAAGTTGTTGGGTTGTGATTTTTGTGAAAATAGAGGAGTTTATTGCCAGTTTCATTGAAATTTTGTAGAAAGGCACTGTATTAGTCCACTTGAGAGAAGCACTGATAAAGTGACTTCTTTTTCAGTATGTCACTTGCCAAAAGTCAGCTCTGATGAAGTCATTCTTGGCATTAACTACTTGAATTGCACATCCTTCTATAAAGTAATTTCTTTCTCTCCATATCAATTACTTTCCAAAGGCTCATCTGTTGAGTGGCAGTGGTACAAAAAAGTAGCTTCTCTTCTGGCATATACAATAAACTGAGGTGGATAAAGAAACCAAAAACCCAACTGAAAATTATCTGCCTGAGATTGCACAGTCAAGTTCACAAACAAGAGGGGAGCTGGAGTCTTACATAAGATCTACCTTGTGCTGTTTTGTCTCACCCTTCCCTCCTTTTCTGACTATTTGAATTTTATTTCCTTCTGATTTAATACTTAGCAAACACTTGCTTGTTTATATTAAGCAAGAAGTAGGTTTTCATTATGTACTATATAGAAAAAAATACAGAAAATAGTGTTGCTCAGAGAGGTGGTGGATGTCTCATCCCTGGAAACATTCCAGGTCAGTTTGAACAGGGCTCTGAGCGACCTGATGTAGTTCAAGATGTCCATGCTCGTTGCAGAGGGGTTGAACTTGACCTTCCAACCCAAATGATTCTATTATTCTATCTGCTCTATAAATTATAATAATATAGAAAATATATATAGTCATTACTCGGGTGTATACATGTATATCATAAGCAGTAGTGCTGTTTTTTAATTAGAGCTAAACCCTGCAAAGTTACATTTCCCAATCTCTTTCAAGTGCATCGAAGAAATGAAACGTGAAGCCAGACCTATTAAGATTGACAGAAGACTGACAGGTGCAAACATAATTGATGAGCCTTTGCAACAGGTAAGTTCTAACCAGGACTATTTAACCTACTTTATTACTTTTCAAGTAATGACTATGCAATGCAGAAGTAGTTGAGTGACAAATAGAATTTGAAAATTTTACCATATATGAGAGTGATAAATAGAAAAACCATGGGAGATGGGCCAGGATTTTGGGCAATATTTGAGTATGTTTTCGGTATATTTTATTTTCTCAGTGTAGTGATGATAAAAACAAAGTGTGCAAACCAGTCTGAAAAGAAGTTTCAGTGTGTGAATTCTGTTTTTCACTCCCAGTTCATAATGGCAAAGGAGTATCATTCACTCTGGTAACCTTTTAGGATAACTGCTATTGCATTATTAGGCACATATATTTTTATAGTTTTTGTCCTTTGTATATTTTTTTTTGTTCTTTTTCATTAGTTCTTTTTTTTTTTTTTCTTTTTTTTTTTTTTTTTTTTTTTTTTTTTTTTTTTTTTTTTTCCCTTCCAATTTTAGGTAATCCAATTTTCCCTGAGAGACTATGTACAGTATTGGTATTACACACTAAGTGATGATGAATCCTTTCTTCTGGAAATTAGACAGGCTCTTCAGTATGCACTTGTTCAGTTTTCTGCCAGGTAAGATTTGTTTTTATTTACAGCAATAGACCGTGTGTTGTATGGTAGTAGGTAAGTGGTTAAATTTATCCACTAGCCTAGTTCAGTGCATTTTACAGAAAGAACATACAAAAATTTAGGATTATAATATAAGAAATATGATCTCTTGCTGATCCCCTAGGGAAGTAATGGAGATGACAGTGTTGGAAGTCATAATCTTTTGCAAAATGGCCAGTTCAAAATTTAGATTGTCTAGAATCACTGAACTGCTATTTTTTTCCTTTTTTACAACTTAAGCATTGAGTTTGTGAATCATTAGTTCTTTGTATTCTCCATGTAAAGAGTAGGGCCGCTAACAAGGTAAGTCTGAATGTGTATCACCTCAGATGATTTTTAGAAGTGGTATGGCACTTCCATATGTAAGAACAATGGGTATTTTAGAAAGAATAATATTCCATGGAGTGAAATAGAATGCTACATATGCAAACATTTTTTTTTAAACAGGATTGACTAAGGACAGATGGATAGTTTGTTAATTACCCCTTATTTCTGGTGCTGTTCCCTGACTTCCTGCTACTTGATTAGCAACTTGTCTGGGAAATTCACTTCTTTAGTATGGCTGATTTCTCAGCCCAGGTGCCACATGCCTGTATATCCATCTACTTGTTTATTAAGTTCTTATTTCAGGTGTTCATCCCACTGTGCTTATTGTTACTTGCTTTCCTTGCCGAAGGTGTTGTGGGTCACCTAAATATAAGTAATTTAGCAATTTTAAGGTGTTATCCCCTCCCTCTGTTGGCTTGAAAATGTAGGTTAGTGTGCTTTTCTGACAGTGAGGGTCAAAGACGGAGAGCTGGGTTTAATACTAGGAAAAAATAATTATAATATAAATATTATAATGTATGATTAAGTAAAATAATGAAAATCCTAGGAAACAGTATTGAAATGGTGAAAATGATGCTAAATAAACTCTTACAGCAACCAAGCTTATGCATGAAATGGACCTGACTACCCAGCTTCAGTGGTTTTTTTTGTTTGACACTTTCCATTTCATTGGATAGTGTTGAGCACTGGGTTTGTGTCAAAGTAGGTCAAATTCTGGCAAGTTTATTTCTCTTTTCTACAGTACTATAGCTCTTCAAAAATAGGCACTGCTTCTGTGCCATTGTGTTCTACTGTAGAAAGCAAATCAATTTCAAATGCCTGCAGCAGTTCTTCTGCAGAAAAAATAAAGTAGTGTATTTATAATGCCTGTAGTTGGATATAGCTGAAGCAGTTTAGGTTAGTACGATCACCTGTGGTTTCTTACAGCCTGTTTCATACAGCTTGTCAGCTTCTGGGAAGAATGAGTGCAGTGGAAATTTAGTATTCCCTGAGAGGTGCAGCTTTGGGAGCCTGGGATAAGGCTGCCATCCAGAGGTTTTGTGTGGTTCTGTCTTGTGCGGTTGGGGGATCTGGATTGTTTGTTTGATGGCCCTTTGTGACACCTCTGCTTCTTATTTACACATCTAGATTTTGCAGTAGCCTTCCCTTTCTTCTAGAGTTCCTTATCTCTTTCTCCTTGAGAAAAGTAAGAGCAGGTAAGGGAACAAAGACAAAAAAAGGAAGTGTTGTAGGATTCCTGTGATAACACCTTGAGAGAGTTCAGGCAATAAAATACTTAGTGTGGTGTAAAAGCTATTACTGGCATCAAGGTTCATTAAACCTATAATGCACAATCAGATTGTTAGGTTGCCTAGTAAGGCACAGATATAATAAAAATACCTCTATCCTTTTCACACCACTAAGGAAGTAGTTTTATGTAAATCTAACGGTGACTTGTTTTCTGATCTAAACCTATGTGTGTTGTTGGAAGAGTATGCTAAGAACCTCATAAAATCTGCGGAATCAATTGTTGATAATATTAGATTGTGTTTAGTTTCAGATGAAGTCTGTATTTTCTCACTAGTGCATATTCTGCAAGTTGAGAAGAAAATAATTTAGATTATATGTCTTCCAAAATAGTAGAAAGTATGGCTGAAAAAGATATGGAGGCTATTTTTGTTTTGCGTTGTGTACTGTATATCAGGACTTCTTACAGATATTTGACAATGTCACAAATCAGAACACTATTCTAGATGCAAGTGTTGACTTTCAACTAAATCAAGTATAAATATTAATGTGTTGCAAGAGTGGTTTTTTACAATATTTGGATTTTCAGTAGCTAGGCAATTAGGAGACTGATTTATTTCTTTGTTTTTCCATACTTACTATCAGTGTGGTTCTTGGCAGGAAGAAAGGAGAGGTAGGAATTTATTATTGTTCTTTGTGTTCACAATAAAATAATTTCTATGGATGTCCTTTACTAATAGGTCAAAGGAAACAGACTGGCAGCCTTATTTCACTACACGACTTGTTGATGACTTTGGCACTCATCTTCGAGTTTTCAGAAAAGCTCAGCAAAGGATAGCAGAGAAAGGCAATCAAATGAAAGGTAATGGGAAGTATTTTTTTTATTTGAGTCTGAGTGGGCTGATATCTTATGTGTGTGAAATATAGTTAGCTTTATTTTATAATTCAAGTTCTTTCTCAAGTTTCTAGTCTTGACAAAAACATGCTTTTTATTTTCTTTTGCATAGATCAAGCTGAGGAACTTGTAGATACATTCTTTGAGGTTGAAGTTGAAATGGAAAAAGAAGTCTGTCGTGATCTAGTCTGCACTTCTCCCAAAGATGAAGAAGGTCTCTCAATATTATCTTCTGAGTAAATAATTTAATATGGGAGACTAAATTTAAATACTAACAATGGGGTCAAAAAAAGAAAAGCAAAAAAAACCTAACAAAAGAACTTCAAAAGGGGGGTAACCAACAAAAGGAAAAAATCCCTCCGAATTGGAAAAAATAAAGGGGGAAACAAAAAGAAACAAGGAACCAAGGAAAAACTCCCCCCTTCAATGGAAAAAATTTAAAAAAAAAAAAATTTTTCCTGAGAGGGAGGGGATGGTTTTGCAGATTCTTACTACTTTTTGGTAGATGTGCCTTCCTTATCACTATTCTGCAGTCTTCCTGCAAAAAGCACTATATTTTTAGGGAAGGTATTGAAGGAGGGGAGAAAAACCTAATTATGCTAAGTAAGGAACAATGCATTAGAGTTAGATTGTGTTTTTTTAAATCTTGTAATTTGTTTTTCGTTGCCTGGGGTTTGAGGTAGATCTTTTTCATCACTGATGCTTATATTCCATCTGAAAGGTTACTGTAATGCTTGGAATAAAAGCATTACAGAGATACATGTATTGTATGTTTGAATTCAGAATTAAGGATTTATCTATGGCATTTGGTGATAGCAGGTAAGATGTGAAGTAACATAATGTGAAATTGTGCTAAGGGGTTTTTGATTTCCTTCTCTAGGATTCCTAAGGGATCTGTGTGAGGTTTTACTGTATATATTGCTACCTCCTGGAGACTTCCAGAACAAGATCATGCGATACTTTGTCAGGGTAAGTACAGACTCTAAAAGCCATCCCAATTCTTTGGTTTAAAGTCATAAAAAGTTTTTAAACTGCTGGTCTTCTTTTCTAAAGTTAATTTAATATTAGGGTATTTTAAAAGCAGTAGAGTCTCAATAAGTGTTTAATAGCAGTGAACAGTTTGTCTGAAATGTTTTTGAAGATTCTTTTAGTTCTATAATGACAAAAGTATGAGAAAGTGGATGCTGGTTTTTTTGAGATTGTTTTTTCTTGAGGAGTTTTTTCTTGTAATTTCTTGCAATTACAAATTACACTTGTAGTGTTAATTGGAAGAGAATGTGGTAGTGCCTATTAAATGTTCTCTGTAATTACACTTTTGTGTTTTAAGCTCTACACAGTGATGTTTAAATTGTTTCGGTTATACTAGCTTTATGAATAAATGGAAAAATGATGGTATAAAAATCCTTTGTTTTTTAGGAAATCCTCTCCCGAGGAATTCTTCTTCCGTTAATAAACCAGCTCAGTGATCCTGATTATATTAATCAGTATGTCATATGGATGGTAAGATATAAAATGTTTAAAATTATTTGTATTTCCAGAACATTTTCATGTAAAGCTTTACTCATTTTCCCTCTAATCACAGTGGTATAAACATTACCAATGGATAGATTGGCAGAGATAATGAACTTAGAGCTGCTATACTAAATTTTATACATACATAAAAAAAGATATGCATTTGCGTATATTTGCACTCCTCATTTTGATTGTTCAGCAAAAGTTGCCTGACTGAGGACAAATGTATCAACAAAATGTAAAGGTCAGTCCTCTAACTGTTCCGCTTGGCTGTTTGGGAAGTACCCGTGGAGGTGGTTTCCCTTTACTGTGTTTACAGTTTGGCCTTTCAAGCTTAAGAGGCCTCAAGAATGAAAACTAAGAAACATTTATTTTCTGCTAAGGAATTTCAGGGCAATTATTTTAGGACTGTGTGTGTTAACTCTAAATAATTTGATGGAATGGGCAGAAACTTTTTTTTTACTTTGATAACTCTCTATTGCACCTGCAAGAAAAGCCCCTGAAATTTTAATGTAGTATTATATAGTAAAGTTAACGTAAATAGAATAATTATGCTTTAATTAACAATATTGATTCTTTGGAAAGCAAGTTAAAACTTACTCTTATATGTTATTATCCTGTATAGTTCATTAATCAAGTTTAATTTTTTTCTCCAACTTCTCTCTTTTTATTCATATGTTTTGGTCTTATAGTGAACATTCAAATTCTATACTGAAAATACCTTTGTATTTCCAAGTTCATCTTATGTATGGAATTATAAGTGTATCTGTGCAGGCTTCAAGTGTATATGTGCAGTGATTCCTTCATTCCAGCCTCCTTCACTTCATGTAAAAGTTGGCACACATTCTACTGGAACCTAGCTTTAGTAAGAAAAAATATAGCTCATCTGGACCAGAATTTTCAATTTTCGATTTCCCTCTCCTCCTATGCATGTTTTTTATTTGTAACTTGGCCTCATTCTTTATTTACTGAGCACTGCCCCCAACTGCATCCAGAGATAGGATTTTGAGCTTTTTATAAAGATTTCTGTTATGATAATGATGTCCCAAATAACTAATTTTCCAAATTGTTTTCTGAGATGAAGAAACAAATGTGCTGGCCAAAGGATAAGGAAAAAAATTAATACAAGTTTTATGAAATGGATATCGTTGCAGAAATTAAGGTTAGAAGAGGAAATGACTGAAATAAATCTGAACTCTTTTTGGAACCTTTAACATAAAGTCACACTTGAATTAAAAGATCAGTTTCTGAAAAAGAGAGGTCTAATTCCAGGCATACCATAGTCCAATACTAATTCTGTTGCAATAAAATACAAAGCTTCAATACCAAATCAGAAGTTTATTGAAAGTTCTTACTTCACTGTGAAAGTCACAACTTTAGAAAATGTTTTAAGTTCAAGTACTGCTTGTACTATTACTTTAAAAGCAGATTTTTAGGGAGATTTTTCCATTAAGTTTGATCGATGGTATCCACTCTTCATTCTTTCTGCTTCGTGCAGCTCATGTCAATGCACTTCTTTGGTACAGACCAATTGTTACATTTCCATATCAAAGTGAGCACTTAGATGTGGGTGAAGTGACTTTTTTAGCTTCAGATGGTTGAGTTCTAGTGCTGTCTTTACCCTCAGCACCTGTGTGCACGTGTTGTAAAACTGCCAACATTTCCCTGATCTCCATGCTGCATTCACAGCACAGTTTCCAGTGATCTCGGCAGCACAGCAGGTTTCCTTCACTTGCACAAATGCCTTTGAGTCCCTAGAGCAGGTTATGCCAATGCTGGTAAAATGGTATGTATATAAATAGCTTAATAGTATTTATCAGGGTATCTGAATTAGTGTTCCAGAGAGGAGTCATGTAGATTTGTTTTTCCCTTAGTAGGTTATGATTACATTGTAGGATGTTTTAATTCTTTTTGTAATTCTGTATCTTAAGAAACCATTACTCTGGGAGCATGTATACTTGCAGGGGATCCTTTTTAGCAGTCTCACCATTTTCTGCCCACTTAGCTAAAGAGATAATAGGAGATAATAGTAGATGATGGTCGATTGGATTTTGGAGATCTTCGTTAAGGAGGTTGATGGACTTTCCATGTGTCTGTGTTGTAGTTCTTGGAAACAGAAAGTGATGCAGTGAAATAGTTTTTGACTATGCATGCTTTTTCTGTTTCAGTCCATATAAAATTTGAGTCCTGAAAGGAAAATTTATTGTCAAAGAGCTTTCAAAATGCCACTTTGCAGTGCTGTATCAAATTAATTCACTTGAAGAAAACTCATGTCTTGTACTTTTACCTACTTTGCATTACTTACACTTTAAAACTTTGTGTTTCAGATTCGTGATTCCAACTGTAACTATGAGGCCTTTATGAATATTATTAAATTAAGTGATAATATAGGCGAGTTGGAAGCTGTGAAAGATAAAGCAAGTGAAGAATTGCAATATCTTCGATCTCTAGATACAGCAGGAGATGGTTAGTGCTGCATTGTTTTGCAAAATATGAAATGTATTTACCAGCATGATCGCTGTAGAATATTGCAACAATTAAAAAATAAAAGCTCTGATGCAGCATAGTATAAAGTACTTTATTTTAAAAAACTGGATAAGAATTGATAAAACTCAAGTTTTTGTTTTCATATGCGTTTTGTTGGTTGGTGTGTGTTTGATTCCTTTTTGGAAGTATGGAGAATTTCTAAGTGTATTTCTGTTAAATTAAAACTTTCTGACTGGTGGTTCTGAATTTTGGTAATATTTAAGATATTAATGGTAGTCAGTTAACTGTTAATCTGAAAAAAGGAAAAGAAAAATAGTTCTTCTTGTTAATTTCTTTCATACCTTTCATTAGCAAGGTATTTAAACTGAAAAAAACCCTGAAGATTTTGTTTAGTTATCTGTATTGCTTAATTGTCTTTGTTTTTGCTTGCAGATATCAACACTATAAAAAATCAAATAAACAGTTTATTATATGTTATTAAAGTATGTGATTCAAGAATTCAGAGGTTGCAGTCAGGAAAAGTAAGTGTTTTCAAATTTTTTTGTTTCAAAAGAGTGAGGTTGCAAATGACTGACTAGTTGTTAGTTTTGCTTGTTTTATAATTAAGGGTTGGTAGAGTTGGTATATTTGGCTTTACTTAGTTTCTTGACTCTCTTAATTTGGCCTAGATTTGGTTCCAAGATAATACAATATTCTGCATGTATTGACTATTAAAGTGATTAAGCCTTCTATAGCAGGGTATAGAAGGTATTGCTTTAATAGCAAGAAGTGTCATATAGGCAGAAGAAAATGTGACAGATTAATTTAAGTTGTGGTGAACTGCGGCCTGTCAAATGCTGAAATTAATTTTCATTAATTAATTTTCTGCTACTGTCACTGTTGATGAGGTATTCGGGGTTAATTTTATCTGTAGAGTATTACATGAACAGCAGTATTAAAATCCAGCTTATCATGTAGCAGAACAGCTGCATCTGGTTTTCAAGACAAATATTTAAGAAAACACGATCTTCTAATTTAGACCTTAATTTACTAGTGATCATGAGAATAGCTAATCATTGAGATACTACTTTATTATATGTCATGTAATTTTTTTTAACCTATATGCTTTGTAGTAAGTAGAAGTTTAAAAGTTAATTTTTAAAAAGCCTATGAACACACTGAACTGTGTCTTACAGGAAATAGATACTGTGAAACTGGCAGCAAACTTTGGAAAACTTTGCACAGTCCCTCTGGACCATATTCTGGTAGACAATGTTGCACTACAGTTTTTTATGGGTAAGTGTTAATTTATCTGATCTGTTTTATTTATAAAGAATATGCTAACTCACAGGACAGTGTACTTGGAATTGCTAAGTGTCAGTACTAAGAATATCCATCACTTTTGTTGGTGGTTATAGTCCTTTTAATGCAGTAGATGGAAACAGTCCAGGAACTTCCTGGAGTGCACGGGGATGTACGTCCTGACACAGCTGGTGAGGCAGCTGATCTAGGAAGGCACCTGTCTGAACCTGTATTTGCAAACAGGGGGTGATGTGATAATTGGAGGTTGTCTTGGCCATAAAATAAACACCCTCAGTCAATTTGCAGATGACATTTAAGTTGGGCAGGAGTGTTCATCTGCTGGAGGGCAGGAAGGCTGTCTAGAGGGAAGAAGGCTGAATTTATGGCCCAAGATCATTTGTATGAGATTCAATAAAGCCAAGTGCCAGGTCCTGCACTTGTGTCAACCACAGGCAGTGCTGCAGGCAGGAGCGGAGTGGAAAACTGCCTGGCAGAAAAGCAGCTGGGGGTGCTGATTGTGAGCAGCTGAACATGAGCGAGGAGTGGGTCCAGGTGACCAAGAAGATTAATGGTATCCTTGCTTGGATCAGCAATAGTGTGGCCAGCAGGATTAGGGCAGTGGTTGTTCCCCTGAATTCAGCACTGGTGAGGTCATACCTTAAATCCTGACCTTCACTACAAGAAAGACACTGAGGTGCTGGAGCATGTCCAGAGAAGGGCAACAAAGCTGGGGAAGGGTCTGAAGCATAAGTCTTATGTGGGGAGTCACAGGAAATTAGGGTTTCTTAGGCTGGAGAAAAGGATACTCAGGGAGAACCTTATCACTCCCTACAACTGCCTGAAAGGAGGCTGTAGCGAGGAGAGGGCTCCTCTCTTCTCCTAGGCAGCTAGCAACAGGGTGAAAGGAAATTGCCTCAAGATGTGCCAGATGAAGTTTAGATGGGGTATTAGGAAATATTTCTTCACCAAAAGAGTGATGCATTGGCTTGACAAGCTGCCCAGGGAAGTGGTAGTCACCATCCCTGGAAATATTTAGAAGGCATGTAGATGTGGTACTTAGGAACATGGTTTAGTGGTGGACTTGAAACTGTTAGATTGGCAGTCTTGAACATCTTTTCCAGTATAAATGATCCCATGATTCTATGAACCTATTTTTTAGAAATTCAGTTTGTATCATGCTGTGCAACTCTGTTATACTCACACGGTAGTGATGGATTCACATTTTACATGTGCTTTTGAGGATTCAGTGCTTAGTTCCTCCTTAGTTCCACCTTTGCTCTCAGGTGTTTCTTTACTATATCACCAATATGTATATATGTATACATATATACACATACATATAACCAATATGTATATGTATTTTTTAATTGACTCTATATGGCAAGGTGTATAACCAGATCCTGCTGTTCCGTATGTAATCAACATCATAGAGAATTCCTTTTCCAAGATGTGCAACAGTAACTAAGGTCATGTGTGTCTGTTTTCTGTAGATTACATGCAGCAAACTGGTGGCCAAGCACATCTGTTTTTCTGGATGACAGTGGAAGGATACAGGGTTACAGCACAGCAACAACTGGAGGTACTTCAAAGCCGACAGAAAGATGGAAAACATCAGACTAATCAGACCAAGGGTCTATTAAGAGCAGCTGCATTTGGAGTTTATGAGCAATATTTATCAGAAAAGGTAGGAATAACTTCATTCTGCAGTGTTTATTCTTTGTACTGATACTTCTTTAATATGGTTATGACTAAGTTAATATGAAATGGTTGTTATGTAGTACAAGTTGCTTGCATGTTGACATTTAAGCTATTGTGTATGTATCTTCTCTCTCATCTCCAACAGTAAGGAAGTCTTCCTCTTTTGTGCTCCCCCTCATTTATAAAGGCTCATATTGCCACTGACTGCCTTGTCAGATGCACTGTGTTCCTCAGAAGTTGACTTTCTAGAATATGCAAACTACAGACAATGTAAAGACAGGATAAAGAAGCATCTCTCTGTATATGCTGTCCTTCTCCTTCCTTTTTTCTGTCCTCCACCCTTGCCTGCTCCCTTAAGAAGTGTTATTAAAAAAATGGAACTGAGTATTTTTCCAAACTTAGGTTATGATTGGGTTATCAAATGAAGTAGCTTCCCATGCCTCTCTACAATTGTCTCTGTAAATTGCTCAAATATCACCACTGTGTATCTTTCAATAGGCAGTAAGGATTCCTCGGTGGAAGAAACTGCTCATCAACTTGTATTGACAAAACATCTTTATTCTGAATTTGTGTGCGCATAAAAATCACCTCTCACTCAGAAATGGGAAGTTGACAAACCGTTAGACTTTCCCCAGATGTTTCAGAACTTCATCCTATTACTTTTTTATTGGCTTGTTCTTGAGTTCTGAATCTTAATCTTTTTCATAAATAAATAAAAACTGGCTATAAGTCTGAGTAAATCTGATTTAGGTACTGCTTCAAAATATATGTATAAATTGTTTTTGAGGCCATTCCTAGTGTGTAATAGTGAAACTTCCAAGTTTTAATACAAACTCTGAACTTAGTTTTGGGGGTGGATGGGATCTGACTCCTATCATATGTTCTAGACAGTTACAGAGATACTTGTGAAAAATAAATTTAATTTACTTAGAGAGTTGCAGCATTGTATTGGATTTTATTTTATAAAGTAGAACTTTCTTATTTTTATGCTGCAAAAGTTGATTTAGATCTCTATGACAGGCATCTCCAAGAGTTAATATTGATGACAACTTAGTAGCAAAACTTGCAGAAACACTGAACCATGAGGATCCAACGCCTGAAATCTTTGATGACATTCAGAGAAAGGTATACTCTATTCATCCTTTATTTCATAAGACCTGTTAATGCTATGGAGTATAAAACATAACTAGATGCTAGAAAACAAAGAAGTCAAATATCTAAACCCTAAAAGCTGTGTAACCATTTTTCTGTTCTGTGAAAATCACACTCTTTTAAAATCATCAACTTTTGCTTTTCCATTTGTTAGTCCATGGTTTTCAGAGCAGTAGACAGAAGGAGTAGATGTCCTTCCTGTATAAATCTAAGTATGAAACACAGTTTAGAATTATCATGTTTTTATTTGTGTTAATGCACTAATTTAAGAAAAATGTCATGAGTAAACTAAGACATACAGTTTTATTTCAGTTTTACTTCTTTTTTTCAAAGGTGAATGTGATGGTTGCATTTTAAATCCTGTAACTGTTCCCATAAATTAGTTTGACTCGTCCGTTTCTGCAAACTTGCCCAGTGAAGGACTAGAAGCAGCAAGTACTGAAGAAAAAGACAAAATACATGTATTTAAAAAGGAAAAATTACTGATTAATATTTTGACAATAATTTACATACCCAGTCTGACATGTTTTTATTGTAGATTGTTACTTCAGTGCTCTCATTCATGCTACAAATCAGTGATACAAGCTGTAGAATTTAGAATCACACTGTTGTATGCAGGACTCCATTTAAGACTAATTAAAGCCTCTTGTGAAATCTGGGCCTTACTTGTGAATTCTGCTGAAGAGCATAAATTTCCAGTAAGTTACGAAGGAAATGAACTTCCCGAAAACTGTATGGATTGGGTTTTTTCCTATTCATACTAGATGATAGTACTTGAAGAGTGGTCCATGGGAAAAAAAAAAAATTAAATATGCTAGAGTTGACATGAGTATCCAAAAAATATAAATTAATTCCTGCTATGTATAGATACTTGTGTATATGCTGTGAAAGTAAATTGTTTGAGGTAGTGTGGTTAAATCTTTGTGAGGTATGGCTATATTGTATTGGCTAAACTAGAAATTGTAAGAAAAGTTACATACAGTGTCTCCTCTCCCTTCTTTCCCTTTTCTCACCTCTTGCCCTTAGTGTTTGCAGGTCTACATATATAGTTTATCCACAAGGAGAGACTGAGGTAACCTGTTATGAAATGCATAAAGATGAAATAGGTTTATACTGCAATTGGAAGGGTTAAGAGCAGAGGACAGAAGCATTTACAGCTATGGTTCTACTTCCTTCCTAGATGTGCACATCTGACTAGTTAGATATTTTCTGATAACCATTTCAGTAAGAATAAGTCAGAAACACCTGTGCACAGCTACTTCTTGTTCAAGTAGAATTTATGAAAACTAGTTTAATTAATTAAAAAATGCAATAAGTATTTCCAAATTTGGCATTTTTGTTTCAATAAGGTGTATGAGTTGATGCTGCGAGACGAGAGGTTCTACCCTTCGTTCAAGCAGAACGTGTTGTATGTGCGTATGTTAGCTGAGCTGGATATGCTGAAGGATCCCAGTTTCAGAGGATCAGATGATGGTGAAGGAGGTGAGCTCTGTATCTCTGAGGTGTATTTCCTGGGATCATTCTTTTCTCTGCTTTAAAATGAAAATAAATAAATTATCCATACCGGTTTTAGGAAATTAAATACTCCTGTGGTGTCTCTGATACTTAAATTTATTTTCCTCCTTGTGTTTTTGTGTGTAAACTCAGATAGGGTTTTCACTGTAGTAAGTTTATTAATCTTATGTAAATTCTTGTCATGTCTTGGTAACTAGTTTGTCACTAAAATAAATACACATTTCTTCCATTCTATTTTTTTTGTGAAAATATTTAAAACTTCAATATATTGGGTTCTTTTAATGCATAACTATACTCCTCTCTGGAAATAAAAATTGAAAGTACATAGGAGATATGGCTTTTTAAAGCAGATAAAATCATTATTCTTGTTACTGAAGTAAAAATCCACTGAAAATTTCCCTCTTAAACTAGCTTGTTAACAGAGCTTGTTTATATCCTATGTGGGGATATAAACTTTAAAAAATGTTATCCGAAGTATTTACTTAAACTCTTTATAAACCTACATTTCTTTAAGTGTCTTTACTGGAAATTTTAAACACTTGCATGTTGCATGCAGCATTTTTCCCAGTTCTACAATTCTCCTTCATTTTTCATAATGTTTTTTGGATGCATTTTTATTTATATGTGATCCTACAATGGGGAGAAATCTTCTGACTTGGCTTTTCCTTTCCTTGTCCTCACTGCTCCCAGAGTCTTTTAATGGGTCTCCTACTAGCAGCATAAATTTGGTAAGTGCTTAGATTTCTTTTTTTTTTTCCTCAAAAGTAGAGAAAGTGTGATAAAATAGTTTAACTTAATGTACATTGCAGGTTTTACTTCACAGCAGTTGAATTTCTGAAAAAGTTTTTGAATCAAATTGAAACAGACAAGTTATTAATTTCTCTGTAAGATAAAACATCTTTTTGTATTTTCCCATGTTTAATGAAATTTTACATTGTTTCTCACAGAAACAGTTAATTTATGGAAAGCATAATTTCTTATCCCTATTTGCTTTTCTTAAATAGATATAAATTTGGAGTTACATAATAGTAGGTGAAAACAAATCCTTTGAAAGAGAAATCGCAAAGGATTAAATTTAAATAGACTGTAAAATGAGGCATTTAATTGCATTTTTGTTGGTTGATATTTTTTTCATTAGGACTTGATTTGGAAGCATTGAGGTATCTGGAGTTTATTCCAGCCATGAGTCAGTGGTTTTGGATTTTTTTTAATCTGTCTAATTTCAAGTTTAGGTTTTTTTTTTTTTTAAGTGATTCTTGACGTTTGTCAGTTTGTCAAAACCTTTCCTTTGTTAAATGAGTGTACCTAAACCAAAAATGCAAATACATTTATTTAAAAAGGAGAAATCATAAGATGTTTATTATATATCCTACTCATGTTTCTATAGACAGTGTGTAGCTGAGCCACAAGGTATACAAGATTCAGTTGGGCATATGACAGTATGTTTACAAACCTTTTTGTTTTATGAAGGTTTACATAGATATTTACAATCTGCATGCAATTTCCTGGATTATGTGATGCCTGGGCCCTTCTAGTTTGTTCTTGGAAGGTGCTGTAGATCCTTAGGAGTTCCATTGCATTGATAAGGTCATGCTTGCATGAAAAGGAATGAGTGTTTTCTAAAGGAATACATGTAACATTAATGTCAATGTGTTTCACTGTGGGATTTGTTGTTTATGGGGTTCAGGTTTCTGTCAGTTTTGGATTTTTTAAAATTTAAACTGGGTTTATCTTTTCTATTATATTCCTGTTGACATTTTGAAATGTAAAGAGAAGGGGAGGTGTTTAGCTGATACAAGTTATGCAAACTCCTGGTAGATGCAGACGGATAACTTAATTTAGCCATATTTTTTCGCAAGAGTCTTTTAACTGACTAATCTCTTTAAAAGATCTTTCAAATTTCTTTTAAGTACTCTGTCTAATAATGTTGTGCTATACCAGAGTTATATTTTATGGATGAGGATTTGTCATTATTGTGGCTTATCTGGCTAGTGGCTATCTGCTGCTTCAAGTGACTTTCCAAGCTAAGTTAAAAAGTCCTAAAGTCTTTACCATGCACTGTTGCACTGCAAATAGATATTTCCATGGGACTCTTCAAAGACTTGATTTTTGGTTTTGTTGTGAGAAGGCTATTTATAGAATATTACATTTATTATAAAGAGTTAGGAACATTATAGAAGAAATCCATTAGTAAATTTCTCTTTATGCAGAACTACTTTTACTTTTCTGTTGTCCATATTGTTCAGAGTGTTCAATGCTTTTACAGGTGTTTGAATACTGGTAGATTAGTTTTTGCTGGCTGAATTCCATGTCAAGAGTAAATTTCTGTACACATAGTTAGCTCCCTTGTGTTAGTCTGTTACATAAGGAAAATAGACCTTGGAAAGGTTACTTTAAAGGTCAGGAAATTTCTGTACTTGCAGCTAATGACAATGTATTAAATAAAATCGGGTTGTGATATTTTTAGGTTTTAATTAACTTGTGTTCCTGTGAATATATCTAATGGTAGATATATTAGCTCATATCAAATGTCTGTCTGTTCAGGTTTCAACCTTTTAATTTACTTGTATTAATAGTTGCTGTATAGTGCCTTGCCACAGTAGTTGAGTGTTTCCTAAAGTTTCTATTATAAAATAAATTGTCTGCAATTCATACTTTCACTGGAAGAATTTGAAAGAGAGGCTCAAAACTGTTTTGAGGAAAAGTTGTTTTACAAAAAAAAAAAGTCTTAATTTCTGCCTTTTAATTTGATACATTTATCTACTATATCAAATCAGTGGGTCACATTTTGGGAGTATAAAATTATTGTAAATATTTACAGACTCTTGCAGATTTCCTCTAAAGGATCTATAATGGATACTTTGCATTGAGTAAATACAAGGATTTACACAGGTGTTCCAAGACCTTGAAGGGCAGCAGAAGTGGCTGGGTTGAACTTTTAGCAATCATTAGCATATGTCAGCTTGAACTCCACTCAGTAATCACAAAGAAATCTGAACTTGAGTAACAGTGAAGGGGAGCAGGAAAACAAGAAATAGTTATGCCTTTAAAAATATAACAGTGTCTTAATGTCAGTATTTTGTAGCAAACAATACATTTGAGCATTTGGCAGTTACTTGTCTTCTCCTGTAACATCACATCACTTCCATCTTATTGATAATCAAATCCTAGAGCTTTAAAATCAAGCACTTTATCCAAGTTTCCACATACACCTTCTGTTAGCCAGTCTCAGGTGATACTCTGCTTGTAAATTGAACACAGCAGTATGGAGCAGCATACCTGACAGGGTCATGTCTGGCCAAGGGACTCAATCAACAATGGACTAAGTGGGAGTGTTGTGTCCAGAAATTATTGAAAGCAAGCATAATGATTGAAGGAAAGCCCATTTATGGTAATACATTACCAGAATAACTCTCCAGCATCCAGTAACTTATAGATTCTTGAGGTAAAGATGATGTCTGCTGTCAAAATATTTTTGCATACATTCATCTGTTCTACCATTCGACAGACATAAACTTCTAGCACTATAACATGTAGTGGCAAAACAGATTTCCCCAGAAGGGCTTTTCTTTCTTCTACCTTTTCTCAGTCTGGGGCCTTGGTACTAAAAGTCTACAAGCATATCTTTCAGTAGACTCCCTACTGCAACACATGTTATTCAGACACTTTTAAGCTGCCTTTTATTTGGTATCTAGACTTTATAACAGAAATGTTATTTTCCTTACCTTCAGTAGTAGACATTTAGGCAGAGACTTATTGAGATGGTTGAGGCAGAAAAGAGCCATTCCTTGTAGAGAACTAGAGGAGGAAGCAATGGAGTATTATGTCGGGATATTGTGGAGTTGATAAAGATTCAGATGAAGAAGGGGCAAGAGCAGAGTTGTTAAATAATTCATGTTTAAGTCCAGCGTATCTTTTGATTGTGATTTCGTACATTGTTTTATGTTTAAGGAAACAGAGATTTGGAAACAGAATTGATATAGGTAGAGGTTTTAGTTTGATACGGGAATGGCACTGCTAACCACTAAGTCCCATTGTAGGTAACTTTTTGTGGTAAGTCACTATTAAACTGGCTTGGTTAAATTATAAAATATAGCAAATGGCTGTGTTCATTCTGAATGTGTTTCTTCAGAGAATTCTAGAATTCTGGGGTAAATTACATAAAGTAACTTGGACCTGAGTGTCTGTGAATTCTACTTAGGTAACTCCAACTCTTTTTTTTTTTTTAACCTGGTAATTTAAGATTAGGATGCATAGTGGCCCATCTTCTATTTCTGTCAGTTGCATAAGCAAGTCTTTCAGCAGTCTTGAAGAGCTTCAATCAGATGTATTAATTTTAACTAAAAACAAAACTTCTCTAAAAGACCCATTAGGCTTCTTTTGATCCCAGTAATTATTAAATATGGACAGAGCATTAACCAGCTAAGAATGTACCTGTTCATTTTTTACTACAGAAAATATTCCTGAGAAAAATGTTGGCTGGTTTTTTTTTGGTTTTTTTTTTTTTTTTTTTTTTACATAAAGCAGCAGTTTCTACTACTGTGTAACATTTGTGTAGGGCATAAAGACATTTGAAAGACAGCAGAATGCTATGAAGGTGAAAACCAAACACAGTATCTGTTACACAACATCTGTATCTCTCCAGTTGTTTGGGTGGTTTCCTGGTTTTGGTTTGGTTTTTTTCTTTCCCAATGCTCAGTAAAAGACCATTTTTAACTGTACTTTTATTAGGGTTGAGATATCAAACTGAAGTGGCCAATATGCTTGATCAAATATGAGTAGTTGCAAAACTATGTGTGAAAATGATGGGGGAAATAAAATGTATATATACTGTGCAAAAGAACAGCTTTGGTAACCAAGTAGTACAGACACCTGCATTGTTACAGTACACTAAGCTTTTAGTATAGTGAACTGAAAGTTTGAAAATTAAATAGATTAATCACAGCACATCTAAAATACAGTGTATTTCTGATCTTATTCTATTTTTTCACATTTTTTCCTCCTACATTTTCTCCCCACCCTGCAGTCCTTAGATGACCTTTCAAATGTCCCTACTGATGAGACAGTTCAGCTCCATGCATACATCTCAGACACTGGTAAGTGAATCTGTTATGATGTCTGCTAACTTTTTTTCCCACCATTTATTTTGAATTTTGTAATATTACAGGCCCTTGAAATCCTGATTGCCTCATTTTTTTGGCTTTCATAAAACATTTGAATTCATATTTTCCATTAAGTCTTTTTGGAAATCTTTCCAGTATTTATCTGTTAGTAACAGACTATATATCTGTACTTAAAAAGTAATGTAATTTTTATTGTGTATGGTAGTATTATTATTATTACTACTTTTATCTCTGGAGAATCATTCATTAAACTTACTATTGAGTAGGAGTTATTTTAGCAATTATTTAAAGAAATTCTGAAAGACATCTCTCTTTCTAGTCACAGAATTATAAGTCTTGACTGTTTCATTCTCTTAGTGTAATACTTTTCCCTTATTCTTTGTGCTTCCTTAGTGACTTAGTTTAAGGAAGTGACTTCTGTTGTTATTGTGATGGCATTTTTTGTTATCTTTTAAAAAACTTTACCTAGAGAGAAACTGTTTTTCTTTGTTACATGAGAGTAAACAACAAAAATCTCAGCTATTATTTCAAATACTCCAGTTAAATGAGATTGCATTGGACAATTAAATTGTGAACTGATCTTCAGATACTTTCTGGGTAGATTTTACTATGCAATATGCTCTCAAATCTATGCATTTATGCTTGCTTACACGTAATCATTCAATTACTTTACATTTTAATTAAACCTATTCCAACGTAGTGTGAGGGTAGTGTGCAATGCAAGTGTAATGCTAGTCAGTCTTCAGGGAAAGGGGAAAATGTGTTGAAAGTCAACCAAATTCTGCTTTTTCATTAAAATGGCCTGTGGTACTTTTTTTCTGAATTAAACTTAAAAGTTTCATCATTCTAACCTAAGGAAAAAAGGTAAACTTAGAACCACGTAAATTGTAAAATTTAGAATCTTAAGGACAGCATGTATTGATAACTACCAGTCTGACTTTGAATATATAATGCTCCAGTTGTAGTAGGAGATTTGTACAGGTTTGTATTGCAAGACCGTATTAAACTGCATCTGTGAGCAAGTTCTTTTCCTCACCCAGTTACTATCCTTTCCTGTGTGTGAGGGTTATATACAGACAGGATTCTCTCTGTGTGTTTCAGGATTCACACTGTCTTGGGTTGCAAAATAAATGCTAATTAAGAGGCTATGGCGTAAGGGGCAGCAGGACAACTACTTTCTTTTTCTGCCTGAAGTGGTTCTGAAGGTGCCACTTGGCAGTGCCGCTGGGATGTGGTCTGGTGGCTGCAGGGCCAGGTTGTCAATGTGAATGTAGAGGATAACGTTTGTGCAGCATCTGTAGTGCTGGGGGTTCCTGACTCGGCTCTCCGGCCAGTATTTTGGCACCCTCCTGACTGCCTGCTCATTCCCCTGGGGATTCAGCACTCATCATTCCTCTTTTAGAGGTTGGATAGCAAAGACGAGATACTCTGTGCCCACTGTTCACCTTTCCAGTGTGTAATTCTTGCATAGGCAGCAGCTGAAACCTTGATTAAAAAGACTTTCATCTAGCCACTGGAAAGCTGTATGTAGTGGATATTGGCTCAATACTTAGAAATACTACATGTTGCCATTTTAAATGGTGTGCAGTGTAAACAATATTGGTTCTAGGTTATTCTGTACATAAAATGTAAGGTTTTGAAACAAACTGTACTGGGAAAATTCTGTAAGGGAGGAAGTCCAAGAAGACTTAAATATTTAACGGAGATCAAAAAGATTTTGCTTGTATTTCAGATAGCTATATGTGTTCTTTTTATTTATGAATTGACTTTTCCATACAATGTGTGTGTGCACATGCAGAGAATGCATTATATATATGTACACATGTCTGTATATATAGTTAACTAAAATAGCATGGGAAGTGATTTTTATCCTAGAGTTAGTAACAAACTGCTGAGTTAATAACAGGCTACTGATGCCAACAGCAAAACTGAATGCTTGCAGCTTGCAATCATTGTCTTGTATTTATAGACTTTTCTGATGGGCAGACTTTTGCAATGTGATTAGACTACTTTTCAAACTGGAATTTCTTCTGGTTTCACAGTTGTCTTTCACCCCGCCTTGAGTTCTTTAGGTTAAAATAATTTTAAGTTCTATTTACTATTTAAAAGTTGAATTTTTTTTTTTTGTTTGCTTATGTTTTGCATGTCATTGAAGCCTGTCTAGCTTTAAAGCTGCTTAATCTCTATTTAAGTTTATGTAGTAAGTTTTGGAGGGTACCATACAGTGTTTAAGTTCAAGGGATAGTTTAGTCTTCTGCTTGCATGTCCATTTTTATCTTTCAAGTCTGTCATTTCAGACATTTCTTCACTTCACATTTGTGTCCTTTCGTCTTCCTTCTTTCTGTTTGTTCCTTTTTTATTTTTGTTTTTAAAACTGCTAGTCTATGCTGACTCTGACCCATATGCTGTGGCAGGAGTGTGTAATGACCACGGCAAGACATATGCCCTGTACGCCATCACTGTCCACAGGCGAAATGCAAACAGTGAGGAGATGTGGAAGACATACCGGCGCTACAGCGACTTCCATGACTTTCACATGAGGATCACTGAGCAGGTAACCAATCTCATGAAAATCTTTATAGGTGCACTTTCCTGTAGTTTCAGAACTGATGACTATATGATTGCTCTTTGAAAAAGAAATGGAACTTAGAAAGTCTCCCCCCCTCTTCCCATACAGCTTAATTTTACTTTAAATCTTTGTATGGAAGTGCTGTTGGTCTCTGAGAGAGTTAGTTATATTTGTCAGAGATTAAGAAATAAAAGCTGAGGTGGGGAAATAGGTATTTAGGTTTTAAGTGAATGTTAAGAACTGGTGGGGTTGCAAGAGGGAGAGCTGGTAGCAGTTCACTATACTACTAGCAATCTGCCTTTTACTGCTGTACTAGTATTCTCAGACTATTAATCCTCCTAAAATGAGAGAAGGAAGGAAGAAATAGAGCGTTGTAATTCACCAACTGGTACAAAGTAGAACCTACTGACATGAAAAAAGCATGTAAACATGGTGCTTTTAAAAGGAGACTGAAGTGCTTTTAAACCAAGCCTTTGCGGAAGTCAGATTTGACTGCATAACCTTTGAACTTAGAAGTGTCAGTTTATATCCTTTTACCCTGTTAATAATTGAAAGTCATAGAGAACAAATTCTGTGCAGGTAAGTTAGCATTTTAAAGTTACAGCGATAATAAAAATTGAAAAGGCTTTATTAAAAAAGCAAACATGTTGAATATTTGGATTAATTATAAATTAAGTCCAACTTTCCGTTGAATTTCTGATGGTCTTAGTGTGCTGTCAATAAGTTTAAAATACTAATTTTTGTACTCCTTCAAATTGATTTTCTTAAATTAATTCAGTCTTTTGAAGAATCCTGGATCTTAGAGTGAATTAACATTCTGCTCGTATGGGACAATAATTTAAAACTAACATAACTTCAAATGAGTAGAAATAAATGGCAATAGCAAAGATGTTCAAAATATGAAAGTTCAACATTTATGGTTACTAAGTCTGATTGAATTTACAGAGACTAGAAATGTTAACCTAGAGCACTAAGATTGCAAAAAGTAAACAGATTTCTGTGATTCACTATGGCGGCATCTCAGATGTTCAACAGTTTTGCTTACTCTTGGCAAGAAAATAGACATTCTTGCTGTCTTGTGTGCTTGTCTAATACATCTAAGACATTTTTATTGACATGTTAAGGGTAAAAGTTAGAATAATTGATTTAAAATTAGTAAAAAGGTCCAGGACTGTTTTTCAGAGAAAATAGATAGCTGATCCAAAATGGAATTGAAGGAGTTCAAAGCAGTTGAAAGTATCTGAGGATTTTTCCTTAGAGCACTGAATAGATTCACACCAGTTCCTTTAGTCAGTCATGTAATAAATGCCATTTGAAGTAAATACCTATATTTAAAATAGAGGCTATTAGTTGCTTATATTACTTCTGGTTTGATATAAGAGTCCAGATGAAAACCAGACCATCTTCTGTTCAGTTATTTTTCCATATGACCTACTTGCAAGGGAATGGGATTTCTAAAGTTGTAAAGAACTGTTCAGGTGCTTTCTGCAGACCATACATTTTATGAGTTTCGTGGCCTTGCAAAGTTTAATGATGCAAGAAGAGATCTTGCAGGGACAGAATGGAATCCATATCTTTAAATCTGTAATGTGGTGGTCTTTTCTAAAGAGGAAAAGGATGCAACCTGTTTCCAGATTGTTTCTTAAAGCCTAGAATACTGTATGTTTCTGTCTTTACCACCTTAAGGATACTATTTACAGGAAGTCTGGATTCTGTATGGGAATAGTCCTGATTCTTCAAGTTTTGTTCCTGTCACTTTTTAATTTTTTGTGCATTTCACCAGATTTATTCAGCCTTAAGTGCTAGGGCCTCATCTTTCCTTTCTCCTTCCCTGGGACTGCCATTCTTCCTGCAAAACTAGATCAGAGTACATGTCATCCATGTACAGAGTCAAAGAGTACAGTGCCAATCACTGTCATTACTTGGAGAAAAGGCACAGATCATGCATGACTTACAGAGCAAGCTGAGATAACCTGTGTGTAAACTGGGTGCTGCCATCTCTTCAGGGAGAAAAGCTTAATCATTTCCTTAATAGGCTTGGTCAGGATAGGAGAGGAAAGAGATTTTAGAAAGATTTACAAGTTCTCTTGAAAATGTTTACTCTTTGTGTTGTGTTATAAAATAATAATAATGATAGATTTTGAGCCTAAGCCTTTTGCACACTCTATTGGTTTGTATTTCAAAAGTGTACTTCAAAAGAGAGTTTCACAAGAAATTAATTTTTACCTGTGACAGTCTCCTGGGAATGCAATTTTTATTGACAGCATACCTTCTTCTTTGGCTTCTCCAAGAATTCTGAGTTCCAGGCATGATGCAAATTCTTTTTGTCAGGTGTTAGATGATACATAAGAATAGGTGAATAGAATGTCCTTATATGAAGACTTGAAATTCTTGAAAACAGAAAAAATAATCTTCTGGTTTTTTCTAGTTTGAAAACCTTGCAAATATACTAAAACTTCCTGGCAAAAAAACATTTAACAATATGGACAGAGAGTTTCTGGAGAAGAGGAAAAAGGATTTAAATGCTTATTTACAGGTAAGCTGTTACTGAGGTTTTTTAAGCTCTGTGCTTGGAATTATTTTTTCAGAGGTAGTGTGCCTTTGTGGTTTTTTCTTTGTAAAAACAAAAAAAGCTGTGTTGGTACACAAAACTAAATAATATATCATAATTACTTGATACTGTCTCATAAGTTTGCATTTTCTTTGGTATTTTGGTTTATTCTTAGCCAGTTCTGTCACTGCTTTTCTGAGCTGATGAGGTTCCAGATATGTTGGTTTTGAGCTTTATGCCATTGACCTTCCCCCGCTGACATGTTTGTGGTCACTTTCTCTTGTGCTGCTGTGTAAGGATTTCTGTGGCACTCGAGCAGCGTAGCAAACCACACAGTTCAGATAAGGCTTGTATCAGCCCAAACAAAAAAAGATCTTTCTTCATCGGGATTTTCGAGTCATTTAGCACTAAAATATGTTAACTAAGTCAATGAACATGTTAACAGTAAATAATGAAGATGAGTTAAAACACTGTGAAATGACAGTTTGATGATAAATGTATATATTTTTCTCTGAGATGCTATAATTACCATAGTGGTTAAAATTATGGCAGCTACTAAGAAGCCCATTGTTTCCATCTTGAGACTGCTGTAATGTTGGAATAAAATTCAGGAATGAAAACATGTGATGTTTTTGATTGTATCTTGTTAATTATGTATTAAAAGATCTTTTATAAAATATTTTATTCAGCTCTTGTTAAATCCTGAGATGATGAAAGCTTCTCCAGCTTTAGCCCATTATGTGTATGACTTCCTGGAGAATAAAGCCTATAGCAAAGGGAAGGGGGATTTTGCACGAAAGGTAAGAATGTTTTGTTCAGTCAAGGGAACTTTAGAGTATTCATTCATGCAATGATTGCATTAAACAGATGCGTTGAACTGATATTAAGGAGCTATGCAGCACTTTGAAAACATCTTGCAAATGAGTTGCTTTAAAACTCAGTGGCAATGTATCTGAGGACATAAAGAACTAAAAAAATTGCCATTTTTATAATAGGTTAATCTGTTTGTATGACATGAAAATAAAATTTTGAAATTGGACCCAGTTAATTGCGCTGAAACTTCTCTACTAGTCTAAAAGTGTTTTTCTTGCAAGTTGCTTTCTGTCAGATATCTGTAATATTTTTTTTTTATAGTTTTATTCCTTCTGATTTCTTGTTTCAGTTCTTTACTCTGTATCTTCTACTATTACCATGCTTTCCACTCTCTGGCCCAAAACACGATATGCATTTCCCTTCAAAAGCCCCTGTTATGTATTTAGGTGTAACCATCCAGAGTCATTGGTCAAATTCAGAGCTCTGGACTCTGCATCCTTTTTCTTAAGCTGCCAGAACTGTCTTCAGACAAGTGGCTCTTTGTTCAGTTGACCAGTTTGTGTGAGCATCTGCTTTGCAAATGCAGCTATTTCTAAAGTTTAAGCAATTTAGATACAAAAAGCATTTACTGCTCTATTGTCACCTCAAGTTACTGTCCTGCCTATATTCTTTAAATAATTAACAGTGAAATAGTTAAATATTTATCAAGGTTTCTATAATGACTAAGATGTGTTTTCCAGCTTACAAGATTCTTTATAAGCATAACTTTTTAAAGGGCATCACTCTGGTATTTGTGCTTCTGTTCGGACTGAATTCAGAGTATATACTGGAAGAAAAATTGTAACAGTTTCTATGAAACTACTTTTTGTTTTTAATTATACTTGCCATGATACATACTATTCCAGCTCTATTTAGAAGAGGCATGTTGCAAAGATGAAGAGTTGAAAGCAGAATTGGAACATCTGGATGTAGAAAGCTTGGAAGGGAGAATTGGTATTGAATGGAGAAGAAAAGGAAAATAAGCTAAGAAAAGCCAAGGGATAGGAAATGGAAATGACTCAGGAAAACATCTGTTGAAAGATGTAAATAGCTGCAGTAGGGCCGTAACAAATGAGAAATATAAATGGAAGTAAAATTAAAACTGTATTCTGCATTCTGTAATGAAGTTAAGTAATTTGAGTTGTACGAACAACTATTATGTTATTGTACGCTGTGCCATGCTTCTCATAGTGTATTAATATGCTGGTGTCCTCTTAGATTATACAATTCTGGTTAAACATCTTCCCCTTCAGATGGACACGTTTGTAAATCCACTGCGTAACTCTATGAGAAATGTATCAAATGCAGTCAAGTCTATCCCTGACAGCCTGGCAGAGGGAATGACTAAAATGTCAGACAACATGGGTAAAATGTCAGAGAGATTGGGACAAGACATAAAGCAATCATTTTTCAAGGTAAGAAAGTACTGGTGGTTAATACATACTAATAAATCAACTGAAGAGTCACTATTGACTCACTGAAACTAATGTTACATAGGAGAGTCAAGTCTTTAAACAGAAGATCAATCTGGTTTGTACCTGCAGCTTTTTAATAAGGTTCAGCAGTGATTTTACTGCAAAAATTGAGGTCTTCACAATTAAGGAATGTATTTTATGATGGCATCTACAGACTGTTACAGTTCTCCACTTAATTCAGTGAAGTAACTTGAGAAGAACATGAGATTCCTGGCTTATTTTAACTAACCATTCTCAATCAGCTAATTTCCTGCATCTGCTGTTTTTGTTAGGGAAAAAAACCTGTATATTTTGAAACTTAAAATAAAGACATAGCCTCTTTTCTGCTTATTCCTTGCTGAATTCTGGTTTAAATTAACTTTTTTTCTGTCTTTCCTGCCATCTTCCCTCGTCTCTTACATTCATAAAATATAATACTTTAGAGGTGAGAAATGGTAGTAGCATGATATGCAATTTGGAAGTCCTATGAAAATAGTTGTGTTCAGAACATGTTAATCTTCCCTTTGTTTCTCTGGTCTTCCTCTTCCTGTATGTAACTGTAAGATCTGTGGTTTGCACAACCAAAACAGTTAAATATGGCAGATGTAGAATAGCAACAGAGATGGGAGAATTAACCCTTAAATCATGAAAGGGAATAATAAATTAGGACCCAGGAGGATATGTGAGTTTTTTTAATTACTTGTAGGGTAAAATTACTGTCTTTGGACTTCATCATTGCTAGTAACTTTCCTGGTGTGTGACTTGCAATATAATTGCAGTTGTACTTGCTGGGAAAACCATAATCAGGCAACAGTCAAGATCAGCACGAAATATCAAAAGAAATCTCAGTCTCATAATAGTTTTTAGGTGTTTTTGAGTTGAAGCACTAGGCACTTGATAAATTAGATGTGGATTGTCTTAAAGGTGTTAATAATTTTGGTAGCTATACGAAAATGTATACAGACTTGATTATTAGTTTTGAAGGGTGAAAGAGCTGCTGTGTATATATTAGCTTGCAGTTACTTTTGACCAAATGTTGTTGTTTTATATTTTCATAACCAAACTGCTTATGACATTTTTTCTCATTTATTCATACTCTAAAGTATTTTTTGCTTTCATTAACATCGCGTTTTTTATTGTAGGTGCCACCTCTGATGCAGAAAACCTATTCAGATCCTGACCATTGCCGTGTTGCAGCACCAATTGATGACAATGTGAGTCTGATATTTGTCCTTTCAAAGCTGACACCTCTAAAAGCAAACAAATGGTTACTTATTCTGCACTGAGCTACACTTTTATTGTTTTCTGACACTATACCAGGCACTTCAAAACAGTTCCAAACTTTTTAAAAATAAATTTGCATACTTCATTTTAAAATTAACATTTTTCCTAGCACTGGAATGGTTTGTACAACATTGGAATAACTGTGAAGAATGCATGTACTACTGTTTCTGTGTTTTATGGCTGGGGGTTTTGTTTTTTGATTTTTTTTTTCTTCTCCCTCCAACATGTTTTTCGTAGGCCAATCTGTGTAACATTATCTACTAAAAAAGTAAAATTATTATCCTTTCTTTAGTCTCCAAGCATTAAAGCACAGGATAGTTAAGCAGGTTCCAATGATGTCTAAATAAAAAGCAGTTAATTTCAGTGAAATGTCACTGTTTCTAGTGTCTGTAAGAAAATGGTGTCCAAGAAAAGATCCTTCCTGAGTTTTTGTGTAAGGCAGTTGGAAGCAGAGCAACCAGGAAGAGGTGAGGGATGAGGTCTCTCGTTAGGACATACTTAAATGTATTAATTTTATGCAACTTCTGTAATAACTGCTGACTTTTGAAATAGTGGTTACTTCTTGTCATATTTTAAAAATTTGGTGTATCTGGTTTTATATTTAACTTTCAGTTCTTTGCTACTAATGTTGTTGAAGATTTAGGGAAGATTTCATATTACAGTAAAATACAGAGTGAAGTGTTTGTCATTGTTGTGCTTATACTGAAGTATTTGACAGATGAAGTAGCTTCTGAAACTGTAGCTTTCTTGAACTGAAATAAAAGTTTACTGTTTATTCTTTTACTTGGTGGTCAGGTGGATGACAATATACCACTGAGAGTAATGCTGCTACTTATGGATGAAGTCTTTGATTTGAAGGAGAGAAATCAGTGGTTAAGAAGAAATATAAAAAATCTGCTTCAGCAACTTATTAGAGCAACATATGGTGACACAATTAATAGGTACTGCTTTTCTTATTTAGAGCAATCATGTGAGTGACACTGTATAGTATCTGTCTATACATCCTTCCTGGTAATACTAAATTATTGTGCTTTAAATCTGCATGCATTTCTCCTTGGAGGAAATCAATAAACTGAGTGCAAACGTGGTGTAAAATGGACATAAACACAAAACATTATTGAAAGAAAAATTACAGTAAATCTTAACATGCCAAAGAACTTACAAAAGAGCTTTCACATGTAAGAGTTCATGTTTCTGTGAATGTAACTTAATATTTATGATTTTTGCCCTGTTTTATCACTATGCCTGTTTTATTATTTTTTTTTATTATTTATATTATTTATTAGTATTATTATTTCTGCACTATTTCTGCTTACATTTCTTTCATGCTAGAAATTATACACTAGTGCTTTCAAATTATGTGAACTATACTGAGTTGCTGTGTTAAGTTTTTGCTCTCACACTTAAAAGATGGAAGTGGGAAAGAAAAGGGACTCATGGGGTGTGTTTTGGCCACTCCATGTTCTTTGTACTTCACATGAACACTTACTCATGCAAATGCAAAGCTAATTAATAGTGTTAATTAAGTAATGTTTCTTGCCTTCAGCTTAAAAATACACAGTTTCCAGGTTTGCCTTCTAATAATTTGTTTCTGAAATGTGAACAAATATAAACAACAAATTCTAGTTGCACAACAAATTGTAGTACTGCATTGTTACTTTCAATTTAGTCCTGTGAATCAAAAACTTAATTTCTAGATGGTGAGAAATCGCTTCCTATTACTTTTTTTCAGGACATTCCTCACTGCGTCATTTCATTTTACCCTTCAAAATTATATTTGTGATGTTTTCATCATTACTGTTAAACATACAGAGTTGTGGTAGCTGTAATGAGGTAACTATGTTGTAAAATAGCATAGGGACTTCTCAATTTTATGGCCAGTTGAAAACTCTTTTGAGAACTGTACTTCCAAGAACATGCTGCCCTCTTGAACAACTCTGAATACTTTTTGCTGTTTCCAGATTGTAGTATAAGCAGCAGTTTCTGCACAGGCTGCTGCTTCCTTATTGCAGAGATGGCTGTAGTGTATTTCTAGTTTGCTTCTGCATTTAGAGCCATTTCAGATACTCATGGCCATAGCTTGTCCTGGCAAGTTCTTGGGATTTAATAGCATTCTGCAGAATAATAATCTTTTTCTGTTTCTTAGAAAACTAAATTCAAATTGTGGTTAGGGAAACAGTCCTGGGATTGTGGCAATACACAGATGCATGTATCATTTTTGTAAGCATCCTAGATTTGGATATAGAGCTTTGTGTATGCATTGGTGAATGAAGGCCTGATCAATTATCAGTCTGTATCTCCTGTTAAGGACTGTGAAGTAACTGAACACATTGCAGCAAGTATTTTGAGATTCTGAGTAGGTCCTTTACTTACAGAAACAGAACTTAAGAGTACTCCTTGAAGAGCATGAAGAGGAGTAGTCTACAAGCAAGCCAGTTATCTAATGCTGACAGAAGATGCAACAGCAGCTTTGCAGCCAACTTCATTATCACATATTTATCCAAAGAGAAAAAAGCTTTAGCTTTAGGAAGTGATCAGTGAACTTAGATTTCTATCTTGAGAATCAGTGTTTGCCTTCCTATTGTGCAGTACTATAGAACCTACTTACAGAGTTGGAAAAAGTTTATTATGCTTTGTTTTCCCTAGAATGCTCATTAAAATGCTTCACTTGTGAGTTTTCTGCTTTAAAAATTAAACAAGAGACTTGTTGCTTTGATTTTAGAAAAATAGTTGATCATGTTGATTGGATGACATCTCCCGAGCAAGTAGCAGATGCAGTGAAACGCTTCAGGTATGTCTTTTTATCACAGGTGTTAAATGCAAAGCACTCGCCAGTTGATGTCTAATATGTCTTACTTTCCCTCTTACATGAGGAAATTATTATTCTCCAGAATATAGCTGGATCATACACTGCTTTTTAGATGTTAAGTGAGAGAAAGCAATTTTCATATGGAAAAGAATATTTTTAAGTTTTCTCCTCTACCTTAAAAACTTGTCACCCAGTCTAGAAGAGCTAGCGTACAGGTATACTTATAAATTTCATAATTTATCACTGTAGTAATATAATGTCTTGTTTGCCTTGATGAAGGCATGTACGTGCCTTGCTTTTAAAGGCAAGCAATTAGTGCTGGAAGAGCCCTAGCTCTGAGATATTGTTTCACTTTGGATAGATATAATGGAACTGAAGTCTGAATTTGAAACTGTCAATATCCTAAAAGTTTTAATGGCATCTACATTGGTGTTGAGAAAGTGTTACCTGCTTTTTTTCTTTCCATATAGTTTGGGTTTTTTTCTGTTGGG